TGTTTAATTGTTTTTAATGCTTCTATGTGTCTTACGTAACAGACCCCTTTTACCCTCACCCTGCGTTTATGGGATATCTACATAATGGAGGAGAGAAGATGCTAAATGCCATGGCTTATACAATATTCAAGTTACACAAAAGTGAGTATGACGCTGATTAACATTGTCTTCTGTGCCTTTATGTGATAAAATAAGTAAAACAAGCATCAGTATGCCCAGATACAGCAATGACTGCTGGTGCTTTACCAACTAGTGTAACTGTGTGGAAACATCGCACGCCGCCTCTCGCTTGGCTGACTCCTAACTGCATGGCTTACATAATGCAAGTGGCCGGTTGCTGTGGAGAAGAATCGAAAGCTGTATTTCTATTGGATGCTTGCTTGCTCGCTCAACATTGTTGAATTCCTTCAAAGCAACTCTTTGTGACGGGTTGCTTCTCTGTTGGTATCTTGAAATTAGACATATGTTACACTACTGTCATTGTCAAGCATGCATCACAGTATTACAGAGGTTTCACAACATGTAAGTTCAGGAGGTTTGCATTACCCATTCTGTGAGCTAATTTGCCTCTGTTTTGTGTCTGGTTTGTTGTCCAATCAGAGCGCTTGCAGAGGCTCCAGTTAGAGGACCTGAGGGAGTTTCTTCAGGAGCAGCTGGCTGTTTCTTTCTTCCTGCCTGATGACGTGGTGGTTGAACAGTTACAGGCTTCTATGTCTGAACTACGAAGTAAAAAGCTGGACCAACCTCCACCAGGTGCAGTTCTACCCTTTATCCTTCTTTTTCCTTTTTTCAGTGTAAAGCCTCATTCACTTAGTATGATACATCTATACAAAGTTCACCTTACAAGGAAATACACACAAGAAATTGTTCTCTCTGTTGACATACTCCCTGTTTTTAACCCCTTGAAGCCAAATCAGAGAGCTGCCAAAGAAACCTCTGGGTCAAGAGAGAGCAGTTGTCCTTCAGCCTGTACAACCTGATTCTCCTCTGGAGGTCAAAATCAATCTGCAGGCTGACAGCCAACCCAATACAGAGATGCAGCAAAGAGAACAATTTCTTGTGTGTATTTCCTTGTAAGGTGAACTTTGTATAGATGTATCATACTAAGTGAATGAGGCTTTACACTGAAAAAAGGAAAAAGAAGGATAAAGGGTAGAACTGCACCTGGTGGAGGTTGGTCCAGCTTTTTACTTCGTAGTTCAGACATAGAAGCCTGTAACTGTTCAACCACCACGTCATCAGGCAGGAAGAAAGAAACAGCCAGCTGCTCCTGAAGAAACTCCCTCAGGTCCTCTAACTGGAGCCTCTGCAAGCGCTCTGATTGGACAACAAACCAGACACAAAACAGAGGCAAATTAGCTCACAGAATGGGTAATGCAAACCTCCTGAACTTACATGTTGTGAAACCTCTGTAATACTGTGATGCATGCTTGACAATGACAGTAGTGTAACATATGTCTAATTTCAAGATACCAACAGAGAAGCAACCCGTCACAAAGAGTTGCTTTGAAGGAATTCAACAATGTTGAGCGAGCAAGCAAGCATCCAATAGAAATACAGCTTTCGATTCTTCTCCACAGCAACCGGCCACTTGCATTATGTAAGCCATGCAGTTAGGAGTCAGCCAAGCGAGAGGCGGCGTGCGATGTTTCCACACAGTTACACTAGTTGGTAAAGCACCAGCAGTCATTGCTGTATCTGGGCATACTGATGCTTGTTTTACTTATTTTATCACATAAAGGCACAGAAGACAATGTTAATCAGCGTCATACTCACTTTTGTGTAACTTGAATATTGTATAAGCCATGGCATTTAGCATCTTCTCTCCCTCCATTATGTAGATATCCCATAAACGCAGGGTGAGGGTAAAAGGGGTCTGTTACGTAAGACACATAGAAGCATTAAAAACAATTAAACAACATGCGATGTGGCACATAT